TCCCCTCTACTTCTGCTTTTACTTTGTCTTCTTGAATTCCCTGCAGGTGGCTGCTGCCTGAAATCCTTGTGCTTGATTCTGTGAAGCAGCTAACACATGCCCAGAGTGTGCTGGATGCGAAGGCCACAAAAGCCAAGAGCAAGAATAAGGAGTGGTGGACTGGACTCCAACACTGGCTGATCAAGAGCTCTCTAGCTGCAAGAGGAGTCCAGTCCTGCTCCCATAGGTTGGAAGGACAAAGCTAATTGATATGTCAAATGCAGGCCGATGGGTCAGAGATGGGAAGAAAGGGGCTAAGTAAAGGTATAAGAGAATCCAGGAGGTCTAGGATGGCAGCAGTTTTTAAAATCAGGGGATACTGTAAAAACATAAAAAAAAAAAATTCAAAAAATAAAATAAAATTTGGAAAGATTTTGACCCTAAAAATAAATTATTTTTGAAAGACGTTCAAAGCACAACCCTTCCACTTCATCCTACAGATTGTGGTCTCTACAGGCCAGATCTATGAGGACATACTCCATAATAATAACCCGATTCTTTTTTTCAGTCTTTTTTTTTTTTCGATCAACATAATTTAAATGTACCAGTGAACTATAGGTTCAAGTGCTCTGAGAGATTAAAAAAGGTTGAAAAACACTGCTTTAGAGGGAGAGAGATGAGATTAGGGAGGAATACACAGGGGTTTTAATTATGTTAGTAATAATTTATTTCTTATGCTGGGTGGTGGTGATAGGTATATTTGAAATATAATTCTTCAAGCATGAAATAATTTCAAAAATGAAATATTTTTATGATAATTTTTTTTAATAAAAGGGAAGACAATATAATTGGTAGTGATCTAAGTCATTCCACTTTTCTTAAGGTCTCACCCAGGAAAACGAGGTTCCCTGGGTAGAGTGCTGTGGCATCATAGCTCACAACAACCTCCAACTCTTGGGCTCAAGCAATCCTCTTGCCTCAGTTTTTCTATTTTTAGTAGACACAGGGTCTCACTTTTGCTCAGGCTGCTCTCAAACTTGTGAGCTCAACCAATCCACCTGCCTTGGCCTCCCAGGGTGCTAGGATTATAGGCGTAAGCCACTGCACCTGACCATAGTTGTTGTTGTTGTTGTTGTTTTTAATGGGGATGGAATTGTATATGTATTACTTAGATAGAAGTGATCTTTTTTTTTTTTTTTAAGGCAGAGTCTCACTTTGTTGCCCTTGGTAGAGTGCTGTGGAGTCATAGCTTACAGCAACCTCAAACTCCTGGGCTCAAGTGATTCTCTTGCCTCAGCCTCCCAAGTAGCTGGTTCTACAGGCACCTGCTACAATGCCCAGCTATTTTTAGAGATGGGTCTCCCTCTGACTCAGGCTGGTCTGGAACTCCTGAGCTCAGGCAATCTACCTGCCTCTGCCTCCCAGAGTGCTAGGATTATAGGTGTGAGCCACTGCGCCTGGCCTCGAAGTGAAATTTTTTAATTAAAAATTTTAAGTAGAATTATACTCTACATATTGCTCCATACTTCATTTTGCCACTATCAGCATCTCGTGGACATCTTTGCATGTCAACACATCTGCTCATATGATCTGCCATCCTCTTCCTCAGCAGTGGAGAAGTCTACTATGGGGATATGCCATAATTTATGATTAACAGTTTTACTTTTAATTACACAAGAAATATATGATCATACCTAGATAGTAAAATTTCAAACAGTACAGATAGAGTGATAAAACCTCTCATGAACAAGAATGATAAAGCCTTTCATGAGATTGCCCATTCCCTGGCTGGGCATAGTAGCTCGTGCCTGTAATCCTAACACTCTGGGAAGCTGAGGCAGTCGGATTGCTTGAGCTCAGGAATTCCAGACCAGCCTAAACAAGAGCGGGACCCTGTCTCTACTAAAACTAGCCAGGCACTGTGGCAGGCACCTGTAGTCCCAACTACTTGAGAAGCTGAGGCATAAGAATCTCTTGAGTCCCAAGAGTTTGAGGTTGCTGTGAGCTATGATGACACCAGGCACTCAACCCCCAGGGTGACAAAGTGAGACTCTGTTTCAAAACAAACAAAAAAAGATTGCCCATTCCCTTCTGCACACACACACACACACACACACCCCTATATATGCTTTTAATCTCAGGCCCCTGCTTGGAGATAAACCATTGCTGTGTCTGATATAAATCTTACTCTCATAAGGAAACAGGTTGTTTAGTTATTGTGTGTGTAGTTATGTGTATGCAATACACATATTATTTATTTATTTACTTATTTATTTTTAAGACAGACTCACTGTCACCCTGGGTAGAGTGCCACGGTATCATAGTTCATAGTAACCTCAAACTCTTGGGCTCAAGCGATCCTCCTGCCTCAGCCTCCTGAGTTGCTGAGACTATAGGAACTGGCCACACAGCCCAACTAGTTTTTCTATTTTTATTTTACTTTATTTTATTTACTTTTTTGAGACAGAGTCTCACTTTGTCACCTTCGGTAGAGTTCCATGGTGTCTCAACTCACAGCAACCTCAAACTCTTGGGCTCAAGTGATTCTCTTGCCTCAGCCTCTCAAGTAGCTGAGACTACAGATGCCCACCACAATGCCTGGCTATTTTTAGAGACAGGATCTCGCTCTTGCTCAAGCTGGTCTCAAACCCATGAGCTCAGGCAATCCACCCACCTCAGCCTCTCAGAGTGCTAGGATTACAGGCGTGAGCCACAACGCCCAACCCAGTTTTTCTACTTTTAGTAGAGATAGGGTCTTGCTTTTGCTCAAGCTGGTTTGTAACTCCTGAGCTCAAGCAATCCACCTGCCTCTGGCCTCCCAGAGTGCTAGGCTTACAGGCATGAGCTACCACACCTGGCTGACACATAAACAGTTTTAAATCATATATAATATTCTGCATCTTACACTTGGTGTTCTATGTACGTCATAACTATCTCATCCAGTCGTTCATCTTTTGGTACTTATTATATGATGTGCACTATCGTGGGCACAGTATGGAACAAGATGGACAGCCTCTATAGGATTTACATGCTGGTGAGACAATCAAACAATAAACATGTCAACAAATACTATGTCAGGTAGTACTAAGTAATACAATGAAAATAAAGTGGCGTTTGGACAGGGGAGCGAATATAATTTTTTAACTACTTCATAGTATTCCACAGAATGGATTATCATTTGGGGGAGTGACTTTAAAACTTTTCTACTTCCTAGAGTGAAAAATATATTTTAATCACAACTATTAGGTATCTATAATAATTAAAAATTTAAAAAGAAATACATTTTACGGCTCAGCACCCATAGCTCAGTGGGTAGGGTACTGACCACATACACCAAGGCTGGCAAGTTGGAGCCCGGCTCGGGCCTGCTAAACAACAATGAAAACTGCAGCCAAATAATAGCCAGGCGTTGTGGTGGGCACCTGTAGTCCCAGGTACTTGGGAGGCTGAGGCAAGAGAATCATGTAAGCCCAAGAGTTTGGGAGGCTGAGGCAAGAGAATCACTTAAGCCCAAGAGTTTGAGGTTGCTATAAGCTGTGACACCATGGTACTCTACCAAGGGCAACATAGTGAGACTTTGTCTCAAAAAAAAAAAAAAGAAAGAAAGAAAAAAGAAATACATTTGGCTCGGCGCCTGTAGCTCAAGTGGCTAAGGCATCAGCCACATACGCCCAAGCTGGTGGGTTCGAATCCAGCCTGGGCTGACCAAACAACAAAGATGGCTGCAACAAAAAATAGCCAGGCGTTGTGGCAGGTGCCTGTAGTCCCAGCTACTTGGGAGGCTGAGGCAGGAGAATCACCTAAGCCCAAGAGTTGGAGAGTTGGAGGTTGTTGTGAGCTGTGATGCCACAGCACTCTACCCAGGGCAATAGCTTGAGGCTCTGTCTCAAAAAAAAAGAAAAGAAATACATTTTACACTGCTATCCAAAACCCATCATTGAAACATACAAACACAAAAACCAATATACACAAATATACAACTGGGCTCAGCGCCTATAGCTCAACCAGCTAAGGCGCCAGCCACATACACCTAAGGTGGCGGGTTCGAATCCCCAGCCCGGACCCGCCAAACAACAATGACGGC